CCCTCACTACCATCACCATCACCATCACCACCACCATCACCACCACCACCACCATCACCACCACCACCACCATCGCCATCCCCACCATCACCACCACCATCACCACCACCACCACCACCATCACCACTACCATCACCCTCACCACCATCACCCTCACCACCATCACCATCACTACCACCACCACCATCCTCACAAGCACTGTCACTATAACATTAGTCTTACTCTGTGTTACTACAATAAAATACCTGAGGCAAGCTACATCTGGTGACGGATGGTCTTCCTAGCAGAGTCCCAAGGGGACACTGGGCTTGCATGGCAAAAGACAAGGGGTGTATGTGTGTGTATGTGTGTGCGTGTGTGTACATTCTGCTGGTCTCTTTTTCATCTTATGAACCCACTGGGATTCCATCATGGGGCCTCCACTCTAACAACCTCATGTCATTCTTGTCATCCCTGTGCCCTGCTCTAATGCTATAGTTGGGTTAAATTTCCGCTCACTTCGAATCCACAGTGGGGATTAAACCCCAGCACAAGAGGCCTCAGGGAAGACATTCAAAGCACAGCCACACCACAGCAGCACCACAGCTGTCTTCATTGCCATCACTCTCATCATCCCTGCCACCATCAGCAACGTCCCTGTCACTGCTGTCTCCACAGCTCATTCTCACACCATGGGCGCCACTGCAGCCTCTCCTGTTCCTGCTAACCCCTCCCAGTCACTGCTGCATGACCCTCCCCTTCCCCAGCTCTCTCCACCCTGTCTTCACCGGGAACTTGACCCTGCTCCCTGGTTTGGTTCTGCCTTCCATTTTCCAGAGCTCTTGCCCTCTCCGCCTCTGATCACCCCTTCCATCACAGACCCTCCACCTCCACCTTTAGCTGAGATTGTCCTTCCTTTGCTCACATTAGAAGTGCCACTCACATCTGTTGTTGTCATAAGGCAGGGTGCTGCTCCCTGACCACAACTGGGTCAGGAGTGGACACTTGACCTCACTGACCCAAGCCGACTCTGCCTCTCAGGAGTCAGAACCTGGGGAGTCCAGATGAGCCATGCTAGGATGAGAAGAGGAGATGGCAGCAGAACACACAGGCCGCAGAGCAGAGACAGCACTGCAGCCTGACGGGACACCACTGCAGCTGCCCTCAATAGAAGCATCTGCTGGACCTCAGCCTTTGGGCTTCTAGCGCCAAGCCTGTGGGCCATACCTAAGCTCCTGCTGGTTGACTGTGTACCTGGTGGTGCGTTGGCACAGCGCCTGTGCAGACCAGAGGAAAGCTTGACACATGTTTTTGGGGTAAGGTACAAGGAGGTAAATGTTTTAGGCTTTATGGGACCTGTGATGCTACTCAACTGAACTGTCATGGTGTGAAGGTCACTATAGACATCCACAAGTGGACAGGCAAAGTTGCACTGCAAGAAAACTTGATAAAACAGTTGGGAGCCAGATTTGGCTCTAGGCTGTAAAGTGCACCATCCTTGGCTTAGAGCAGTACAGTCATTTGTTTTGCTTGGAAACTGAGCTCCCGGGAGGGCTGTCTCTGCCCAGCCAGGTGGCTGATGGGGCCTCTACTCTCAAGATGGTGCACGTGGTGTTGGTTGCTGGCCAGGCCTCTGTCGGGGCTCTGAGCTAGAGGCCTCCTTCCCTCTGCTCATTGTCCTCTTCATGGGACTGCCTTGATCCCTGACAGCATGGTGACTTCTGACCCAAGCATCCCAGGGGCACCAGGCTGTGGTACCACTCACAAGCTTGCCTTAAAGCCACACCACGTCACGTGCTGTGCCTGTAAACAGCCCAAGTCAGGGGCTGGAGGCCAGAGCACATGAGGCACACCAGCCATGGACGGAAGGAGGCACATGGGTGGATGGGAGACGAACACTGGTGCAGACCAAAGGTCAGTCCAGGGTAGCTGTGGACGGCAGCTAAGTTCTTAGGGAACATAGAGGAAACGTGGTGGGCTTCTGTGTGGTACAAAGGGGCTGCCCTAACACCGGACAGTAGGACATCTTCTGGGGCCACAACCAGAGAGCTTCCCTGCCCCAGGAGCCTGAACAGAGACAGCAGGAGCTGGCCTCAGGAGAGAAGGGTGGGTTTCCCCATGCAAAGGCACTGCCCCGGGGGCATGCTGTCCTTAGAAGAGGAGAGTGTGGGTTTTCCACCCCCAGGAGCCTAGGCTGTAGTCCAGGAAAAGGGCTCGCCCGCCCGGTCTGGGGCTCGGAGGCTGGGCAATGGCACCCAGGCATTGCTGTATTCCTCCCAGGGTTTTGTTTTTAAGTTGCTGGGTGGTGCTGTGTTTATAGCCTTGGAGAATTTTCTCCAAAATTAAATCAATGCTGCCCGTGTTCCTTGACGGGAAAACCATTTCTGATGTGCATCAATCCCTCTCCCTCGTGTGTTCCAGAGGGTGCGCCTGGTCCTGCTGACCGACCAGGGCCAGGAGCGGGCTGCAGACGGGTGTGCAGGGTCCACAGACAAGGCTCCAGCACACAACTGCCTGGATCCAGTTCCACTCTCCGACAGGATCTCAGCTGCCAGCCATGGCTGTGAGGAAGGGCTGCTGAATCAACAGAAAAGGGATGGCAACGAAATTGGAGACAATGCAGCATGTACCAGAGAGAGAGCAGGGATCGTACCCGTGGGTTGGGGGCAGGCTGTGAGCCGGGTGTGCCCATATGGGCCTCCACATCTCCTAGGACAGCACCACTTCCCGCTCCCCTAGGCACAGGCGCCCAGTGCCTTGAATTCTCCAGGTTACCCTATAAGAACCATTAGGCCTGTTCTATAGATGGGAGTCATTCTATAGCTCAGAGCCAGCAAGCTGCCGCCCAAAGGCGCCCAGCAACAGGCCCTGGAGCTGGGATCTGCACCTGGGAGAACACATCTGTAGCACTTCTTGCCCACACAATCATGTCGTTTTGCTTTCCTGGAACAGCCAGGAGATACTATTTCATGCCATTTCTATGGACAGAATAAAATAAACGGAAACAAAATCAAAGTCTGGTGACACCAAGTATGGCCCTGGGAGTGGAGACCCAGGGGTGCCCTGCAGTGAGACGTTAGCTGCTCGAAGCATGGTAACTTCCAATAAAGACTAAGATGTGCTGGACCCAACTAGCCTACCCATGGGCATTTAGAGGAACCCCCAGAGAAGCAGGTGAGGACCACAAGTGGATGGTCCCCAAGGCCCAGGGAGGGGAAGGGGGCCCTGGCTGCCTGGTGGCTGGTGTCATCCAGGGTGGGCTTCTGTGCCTGAGGTGGGAGCTGAACCCCAGGAGTCCCAGGACGGGCTGATCTTTCTCTTGGACACAGCAGGGCCAAGTCCACTGGTGCCGAGTTCCTGGCTCACAGCCCGAAACAAGCACCCCATCACCAGCACCCCACCACCCCTTCACTGAGCAGACTCTGGTGGCCTCCAACTGCAGCTATCCGTTGCGGCTCACTCCTGGAAGCTTGGGGTGCAGGCTTCTGTCTCTATGGTGCATGGAGGGTCCGTGGACCAGGACGCTCAGAGCCAAGCCGGGACCGTGGGGGCGAGAGCGAGCAGGAATAGGCCTCCACGCCTAGGGCCCCCGGCTCTGCCACCAGCCGCTCCTGGAGTGGGGTGGTGGCCTGCTGGCCAGGGCGCGGGGCTCAGGGAATTCGATCGCTCTGCTCCGAGATGGCCTGACTTTCCCTAGATTTATGGGAGGAAAGAATTCACCAACTGCGCGTTTTCTGAGGCACCTCCTGGACGGGAAAAAGCAGGGATTATCTGTCGTAGAAAAAAACCACCTGTGGTTTGTGGAGAGCCTCTGGGCCCAGCCTGGGGCCGGCGGCACGGGCTGCAGCCGGGCAAGCGGGCGCAACAGGAACGGGGCGTCCTCCCCGGAGGCCGAGGCCTGTTTCACAGGCTGCGCCTCCATAAGCCCGAGAAGCGGCAGAGAGAGCGCACCCGGAGCTGGGCGCCTTCCCATTACGCAGTTCCTGTCTCTTTAAATTGAAGTACCAGGGAAGGGGGGTGGGGCGCCTGGGCCGGACCCCCGATTCCAGGCTGGCTGGGCGGGGCGGGGGGCCTAGGGTCCCCGCGTGCGCGCGCCGGGGCGGGGCGGGGCGGGG